TTCAATTATGCCCCCCCCCCCACCCCGCATGCGCCCCACAATTTGTTTAAGCTGGCACCACAGACCTACTTTGTCCAAGGGCTTCTTCGACTTGTCTTTGCTGATGAAATATCCTCTCCTGTCCGAGCCGAATGAGATGACCCGGGGGTTCTCGGAGGAGAGGACCGTTTGACTTCTCTAAATGTTTTGGAAAGGTGCCTGGATGCAACCTTTCAGACCCTTCCTCTTGGCCAACCTTATTACCCCGAATTCTTTACGTCCGCAACATTTAAAGCAACAGGACACCGACTGAGTTGTCAGACTGCGCGAAGACTCTCTCGTCTAACGCTGAAGAATTTAAATGATAACGTTTCAAAAAAGCAAATCCTTAAAAATTAGTCATAAAAAAGCTTTTCCTCTTTATCCCGACCACAAACCTCCGAAATGAATTCGTGAATGGGCACCTACAAAATCACTGAAAAACATCATCAGTGATCCCCGCCGCAAATAAATTGTATATGTATATTTCTCATCTTGTTGTTCATCGAAGATTTTGCAGGTAAAGTCCGCCGTCGCGGTATGACGTCAAAATAGTGGCGGTTTATTCGAAGCGGTGTTGTCCTTTCCTTATTTTGGAAAAGGATGCATCCTTTCATCGGCCTAATGACGTCATGCAACGCAGGTCAAAGCAAGGCGAGGGAAATATTCGACAGTTGATTCGAAGAGGCCAATGAGCGGCCAGGTGTTTGTCCGAGTGTAGTTGCCGTAGCTTGCGATCAACATGGCCGACCTGTTACGCATGCGCACTGTAGATGACGTCAGATTCGCAGATCGCGGTCCGGACGTGGCGTTTGACCAAATTAAATTGTTCCCTGAATGAGGAATGCACAATCTAATGCCTCGACGCTATGCGTCCTATTTCTACGAACCGGTTTTGAAATTAAGCCTTCGCGTCCGGATAAACTTGTCTGTCTGCACATCGAAGCTTGCCCATCTAACTTAGCTTAGCTTGCTGGCCGCTAACAAAGAGACGCGTTTGGAAGCACGGCATTGTTCAAACGACTAAGTGAGTGCAAAGTGTTCTGACTTTGGCTTGAAAATGTGCGCAAGAAAGACAACGGAGTACGAGCGGGAACTTTGTGGCGCAAAAGAGGACATCAAGCCACAACCTGACCGTTGCAAGTTGGAACCTGGAGTTTTCTTACACAGAACGGGTTGGTTGAGTTCGCATTACCACTTGTTCAGTGGCGACGTGCTTTTTGTCAAGTCAGCGGTGTTGCTCTGCATTGCGGAAGTTTTGGGACGAAAAGGTTGATTTTTGTCATGCCTTAGTCTTCGATGTTTGCCTGACTCAAAAAGGTCCAAAACTTTTACTTGTAATCGTCAGAGCAGGGAAGCTCGTATTGCCAGGTATTGCCTCAGTCATATCTATCTATCTATCTATCTATCTATCTATCTATCTATCTATCTATCTATCTATCTATCTATCTATCTATCTATCTATCTATCTATCTATCTATCTATCTATCTATCTATCTATCTATCTATCTATCTATCTATCTATCTATCTATCTATCCTCAGTCTTTCCATTCTTTAGTAATCAACAGTCAAGTTGAAGCCAGCCGTGTGTCCCTGTGACACAATGTCCAAGTCTCTTACCTTCATTGGAAGGTTAAGTGTCGCATTTCCAAACATTGCCGAAGAAAAGTCTGAGGGCGGCAGGTGACAAAACTGTCCCAAAGTCATTTGTGCCACCGAAAACTGTCATATATCGCAATCATATCAATTTCAATGACTGTATCAGATACCGAAAAGGTCGGACCTGGCTGAGGTCGAGTTTGGAATGTCACACGGTTCAATGAGCAATCTTTTTGTCTCTGTAGGTTCAGATTCCGTTTGTTGAAGACATTTCCCTTTGAATTGTGTAGGCTTGTTCTCTTCATGGCATTTGGTCTTCAACATTGCCAAACCTTTTTAGATTGAATAACACACAATATCAAAGTCACATTTTGTTTTCTCACTGAAGATCATCCAAGTTCCGAGGAGCAGCAGGAGCCGGAGTGCGTCCAAATGAAGGAGGAAGAGCAGGAGGAGGAAATCGGCAAGTTTCCATTGACTGGAGTCAGCGTGAAGAGTGAACTCGTCGATGCAGGATCCCAGGCGGACGGCCTCCTCCCGCCACTTTCAGACGGGGACGCCACAGCATCCCGCTCTTCTGACACTGGCAGTGACGACGATGACGACGAACACGCTCAAGGTGATTTAACACGTCACGCTGACAACAAACGAGTGGCGTGTTCCCAGTGCGACAAAACCTTTGTCAACAAGTCATCCTTGAAAAGACACACGAGGACTCATACTGGCGAAAAGCCTTTTGCCTGCTCGCTTTGTGGGAAAAGATTCTCCAGGAGGGGAGATGTGACGAGCCACACAAGAAAACACACCGGGGAAAAACCTTTTGCCTGCTCAATTTGCGGCAAAAGGTATTCTCTTAAGGATAGCTTAATAAGTCACACCCGAACCCACACTGGGGACACACCTTTTGCCTGCTCGGAGTGTGAGAAAGTATTTTCGAGAAAGGGAGATTTGACAATTCACACCAGAACACACACCGGAGAAAAACCTTTTGCCTGTTCACTTTGCGCTAAGACATTTTCTGCCAAGGAAAGCTTAACAAGACACACAAGAACGCACACTGGCGAGAGACCGTTTGCCTGCCCGGTTTGTGGGAAAAATTTCTCCCGAAAGGGCCACTTACGAGATCACTCGAAAACGCACACTGGGGTGAAGCCTTTTGTCTGCTCAGATTGTGGGAAGAAATTCTCCTCGAGGACACATTTAACAAGACACGCCAGACGACACACTGGAGAAAAACCTTTTGTCTGCTCGGATTGCGGGAAAAGGGTTTCGACCAAGGGAGAATTAACAGCTCACGAGAGGACACACACTGGGGAAAGACCCTTTGCCTGTTCACTTTGTGACAAGAGGTTTTCGACAAACGACCATTTAAAAACGCACACCAGAACACACACCGGAGAAAAACCTTTTGCCTGCACGCTATGCGGTAAATGCTTTAACATCAAGAAAGAATTGAACATACACACGAGAACGCACACCGGGGAGAAACCATTTGCGTGTTCACTTTGTGGCTCCAGATTCAGACAAAAGGGACATTTGAAAGCACACAGAAGAACGCACACTGGAGAAAAACCTTTTGGCTGCGTAGGATGTGAAAAAAGATTCACCCAGAGGAAACTTTTAAAAGCACACGCAAGCGGGCACACTGGAGAAAATCCTTTTGCCTCCTCCGTTTTTGGTCCAACATTTTCTCCAAAGGAAGATTGAAGAAGGCACGCAAAGAAGAAACACTGGCCAAAAGCCTTTTTGCCCCCCACTCACGTTGCGGCCACCCCAAGCCGAGCTTACCAAAACACCTTAGCGTACACTGGAGACAATATGTTCAGTTGTGGAGCCTGTTCTAAGAGATTCAGATGAAGAGACACAAGCTTGTGAGTGCAAGTCACCGACTCCTCCCCTCCTCCCTCCGGAGGAACTCATGAAAAGATGGTATTGTTCAAGTGATTTGTCTACTAGGGTGCAATCTTTTCCGCCATTTGTTCATACAATGCGTTTTGTATAGAACACATAACGAAATTATTGTTATTATTATTTTATTTTTTAAAATGAAGAAATAAAACCCATTTATCAATGG